CTCTCTCTCTCTCTCTCTCTGTGTGTGTGTGTGTGTGTGTGTGTGTGTGTACTATTTTGTTCCCAGCACTGTGGTGAGTTCATGCCCTGGGAGGGTAGGTCCACATCTGTTTTCCCAACATTCCGTGGCTGGGACCTGGCTCAGAGCTGAGCAAGGTCAGTCAGTAAGCCCTCGACTTGGATTTCTCTGTGCCCCACCTGTAAGCTCCCTGTTGTCCTTGGCTCCCGGCTCAGCCTCTCAGCTCATCCACAGGCTGCAGAACTCTGGGATGCTTCCTTCCTCTTACCTTGGATGGGCATGACTGTCTCACCTTGGGAGCTCTTTAGCAGTCATCCACGGCTTCAGCCTTGTGGCCATTCATTCCATCAAGCTGGGGGAACACATCATTTGATTAAAATTGCAGGGTGACAGGGGCTTTCCTCAACATCCTGCTCTGAGGCTCCAGCACCCAGTGGCCTCCCGGATGAAAGGATTGGCAGCTTGTCATAGTATCCACAGGGTGCAGAAATGCTATCACAGGTTAAGCGGCATAGGATGGGGACATACAACTGTGTGGACACAGGCGTGTGACCACCTTCCACGCAGTTTACTGTGGCTTCACACCTAGCCTGGTGTTGGCATTTCCAAGGCACTCCTTTGACCTCCGTGGGCACCAGGCATGCACAAGGTATGTGTATCCATAGACAACAACATTCATGCCATAAAATAAAAACGACAAATCTTCTTGCAAAAGAGGGTGGGGGACACAGTTCATTTAGGCTGCTGGCAGCACCGATGGTCTGTGGCTGCATCAGCTGGTGTGTCAAGCTGCTGGCTCACATCTGGATGGAGCAGGAAGCAGCACGGACCAGGAAGAGAGATGAAGGCAGGCTCTCTGGGATAGTGCCACACACATTCAAGGTGGGCCTTCTCTCAGTTAAGCCTTCTTGGGAATGCCCTCATGGATATACCCAGGAGAGGTGTGTCTCCTGGGTGATTCTAAATCCAGTCAAGTTGACAGTGAAGGTTCATTGTCACAGAGGGAAATAGGCGATGGGTGTCAGGTGACTGAGACCAGTGCAGGTCATTGCAGTAAAGCTGGCAGCAGGGACACCACGTGCACAGAGCTCAGCAGCCCCTTGCCCAGCACTGTCTTCAGGCTCTCTTTCTTTCATATTTTTTTTTCTTCCCACAGTTCATTCTGGAATGTCATGTTACCACAGTGGCACCCTCTGTACCCACAGGAAAGGATTGTCAGGCTCCAGCAGGTGGCCCACTTTTGCAAGCACAAGCCAAAGGTCAGCATCCCAGAATAGTAAAAGGATGTCCTCCCGCTTTGAGTCCACAGTGATAGAGCCCTCACAGGGTTCTATCAGTGCCCAAGTCAACCAGTAGCTGTGTTCCCCCCACCAGCCCCAGACCACTCCATCTGACTGATTCTGCTCCAGACTAGGTTTCTGTGCCCTGGCTCTACCTCATTTGGCTTGTTTATGAGAGACGGTATCATGTAGCCCAGGGTAGCCTTGAACTTGATATGTAGCTAAAGATGAACGCCTGATGCTCCCGACTCTTCTGAGAGTCGGACTTGCTGGTGTGGCACCGGGTCCCCAGATTCTACAAGCACTATGCTTGAGAGGCAGGCACTATCCCTGCCCCCAAAAAAACAACACAAAAAACTGACGTTTTGGACAAAAGACCATTCTTTGTAGTAGGGACCTAGGATCTCAGGAACCCTGGAATGCTGAGTCATGTAGCACCCGGATCTTTCTGCTTAAAATGCCAGGAATAATAGCAGTTGCACTAATTCACAATGTCTCAGATGTTGCTCGGTGTCCCAATGGGACAAAATCCATCCCATGGGGAATCACACCTTTGGGAGGAGAGTCCCTGAGGGCAACACGAGTGGTCTCTGTGACCCCTTCTGCCCTCTTACAGCGAGGGCAGCCTCCTCCAGTTTCCTTTGCCTCTTGCCTGGATGGAACAGCCAGCAGGGAGCAGGGCCTCAGCTGAGCCCACCTGAGCCCAGAGCAGCTTCATGTGCAGAGTGCGATGTATGCCTGAGGCTCCTGAACCATGCTGAGCTGAACTCTTAGCTCTGCTCTTATTGAGACCCAGCTGTCCCTCCTGCTCTCTGTCACCTGTCACATCAAAGTCTAGCCAAATGCAGTGATCCCTCACTACTCTGGGCAAAAGGAATAGCCGATGCTTTCCTTCTGCAAAATAACCAAACACTAGTGTGAGGTCAGAGGTCACCTTTAGTGTCATTCCTTAGGGTGACATCCATCATATGCTGAAACGGTCTCTCACTGAACCAGGAGTTCACTGATCCAGCCAGGCTGGCTAGGCAGTGAGTCCCGGGGATCTGCCTCTCTCCATCCTCCTAGTGCTGGGATTACAAGTTCTTGGCACTATGCCTGGCTTCCATGCATAGGCTCTGGGGGACCAACCTTAGGTCCTTATGCTTGCACAGCAAGAACTGTACTGACTGAGCTGGCTAGCTCTCTGCCCCCTTGTTGTTGCTGTTATTTTTGTTCTCCTCCTTTTCTTCCTCCTCCTGTACTTCCTCCTCCTCTTTATCTTCTTCCTCTTTTTCCTCCTCTTCTTCTCCCTCCTCTTCTTCCTCCTCTTCCTCCATTTGAGACTGTGTTTCTCTGTGTAGCCATGACTGTCTTAGAACTGATTTTATAGACCAGGCTGGCCTCAAACTCACAGAGATCCACTTGCCTCTGCCTCCTCCATGCGGGGATTGAAATGCCACCATTTCTGGCAGGCACTTTAAGGTCTCTACTGACAGTCACAGAATCTATGTCACTCCGGGACTTGTAGGTGTACAAAGTTGTCTCTGAGATGCCCTCTACAACTATCTACTACTGCATGGAACCACGGCTTTGGGGCCCAGCCCAGTGCCTGCCCAAAAAGGACTCTGTGTAGTCCCCAGCCCACATTCAACTGCCTGAAGCTCCTGTCCCTGCCCCATGCCTCACCAGCTGTGACCAAGTAACTCTCCTAGAGCCTCCATTTCCCTGTCAGTAAAAGAAGGACTTCTCAAGCACAAACGTTCCAGGAACTTTGGAAAGGTTCTATGAGATCAATGAGAGGCCCCGAGCATGGCATTCATGACAAGTGTCCACTGTTGTTAATCACTGATTTAATGTTACAAGAAACATAGCAGTAGAAACAATGTGTGTACAGGGAGAGTCAGAGTCATCCTACCTACTCTCCGCACTTGGGGATGCCCTGCAGGTGTGAGTGCACGCAAGATGCCCCCTGGGGAGTTGCTTGGGAAGGTATTGTAGTCGGAGACAAAAGTTGTCTTCTGATTTGCAAGTAGGTGAGGGGAGGGGAGGAGGAGGAAGCGGAGGAGAGAGGAAGGGGAGGGGGAGGAAGAAGGAGAGGGAGAGGAGGAGGAGGGGAGAGAGAGAGAGAGAGAGAGAGACAGAGAGAGAGAGAGAGGAGGGAGGAGAGAGACAGAGAGATAGAGAGAGACAGAGAGAAGCTTGTCCCTGTGTAGATGCTCCGGAGGCCCCTGTGCCATGGAGGCAAGCTCAGCTGAACTCTGGAAGCTTCTGGAAAAAGGCATTGGTAACTACTCGTTGAATAATCCGTGATAAGCAGAATCTAGAGACCCATCTAAAGTCTGACTTAACGCTGTGTGTGTGTGCCCTGAGTCTGAATTAGCCTCAGGGTTGCAGAGGACAGGGGAGTTAGAGCAGAGACAAGCCCTACCCCTTCCTACCCTAGAGAAGGGTGCACTTGGGGCTTGGCCCAGTGTGGGCCAGTAGCTTGTCCCTGATCTGTCTCCTCCTATAATTACTGAAGAAGGAAACTCAACTTTTCACTTTCCAGATGAGATGGTATCAAGCGGAAGGCCAAGCCGTGGGCATGAAGGGTGGGCAGAGGCTGCCCTAGGTGGGAATGTCCTCTTGCTCTTCACCTGTATCTTCACCCGGGTCTTCACCCGCATCTTCACCCATTAGGCCGCTTGATTCTTCCTCATCTCCAGCAGGTTCTTCCACGACTTCCTCTTCGCCTTCCACACTTTTTTTCTTCTGAAGCAGAACCAGAAATGCTGGTGAGGGGAGGCCCTCCCTATTTCCCAGAGGTACCCTACCCCCACCCCCTACCCCCACCAAGACCAATGGCAGGGAACGGCTGGGAGCCTATAATGTCCATTCCAAGCTGGCCTGGCATGTTTTCAGAGTCATGGGATGGGGAAAGCAGCATCTAATAGCCAGACTTCTGCCATTTTCGGAGTAGGTGACCTTGAGCCTGCTCCATTTGGAGCAGCTTGCAGCTTGAGGGGCGGGGCTTAGAGAGAAGGGTGAAGGGAGACAGTGCAGAGAGGACAACCTTCATCATGGGGCGTGGCCTTTCTACCTATTTTCCTTCCTTCATCCCTCCCTCCCTCCCTTCCTCTTTCCTCATCTCCCTTCCATTTCTTTCTTTCTTATGAGGCTGACTCTTGCAATATAACATAGGCTGGCCTCAAATTGTAGACATTCCTGCCTGGGTGCTACACAGTGCTCAGGCTATTATAGCATGGATTACTCTTGCTGGCTTTGGAGTGACGCACTTTGATCGCCATCCCCTCCATGACCCCATGACATGACCAGTCTTGTTCAGAAGAGCATAGCCTGGCTCCATGGTTTTTCTGACATCTGGCCTTTGTCTCCTTCCTAGCTGGACCCCTAAGAACAATGCTGCAGATGGGGAAGATACTTTTTCTCTCAGTCCCCAGATGGTAAGCATGCACCGTCTTTACAGTGCATGCTTCCCTTTCCAGATGGAGCTGAGGAGCGGAGAGAGAGACTGGATGACACAGGTTGAAAATGCTTATGACCTGGGGCTGGGGAGGGGGCAGATGAGCAATCAAAGGCCACACTCCTGATACCTGGTTGGGCTCAACCCTTTCTTCCCATGGTTCTTAAGGCTCACACTCACAGAACCCGAGAGCTCTGGCTCCGGGAGCCCCATGTATGTTGTGGATGGATCTACCATGGTGGGGAGGAACATACCAGGAGGCATGGAGCTTCGGCCCTCAAGGAACCTGATGCCCCACGAAAGACAAATTTCCTCAGGGGATAGGAGTGAATCTTTCTTCTTACCAGTGGACAGTCAAGGATCCATCCCAGAAAACTATTGCTTCAAGGTTACCCAGGAGGTCAGAAGTTGGGCAGAACTCAGGCCTCACGGCTCCCTCCCTGACCCCAATCCATCCAGTCCCCTGCCGAGGTCCTTACAGGCTTCGGTTTCTTCTTCAAGGCCTCTGCCTCCTTCCTCTTCAGCTCTGAGAAGATGACCTCGAAGAATTCCTCCTCTGCTTTGTTGACCAGCTCGTCAAGGTCCAGGGCTGCCTCCTCCTCCTTCTGCTCATCATCCTTGCCCTCTGCCTTGCCTTTCTCCTTCAGCCGCATCTCACGATGTCTGGCCTCCAGGATCTTTTCCCGCCGGGTCTCACGTTCAAATATCTGGGGCAGACAGAGACAAGCTGGTGGCAAGGGAGGTGGGGTGTAGCTAGAAACCCCAGCATAGTCTGGGCTTCTATAGAAATTTGTCCCTGGTGAGGCCTACTGGGGGTCAAGGGCTAAACCAGGAATGGTGGTGCATACTTATGATCCCAGTGCTCAAGAGGCTGAGGCAGGAGGATTGTTGCAAGTTTGAGGCTAGCCTGGGCTACTTAGGAATATCCATCTAGGAAAATCTATGTCTGAGATGCTTTATTGTGTATTGAAGAATATTCTACGAAATTAAAAGGAAGTCAGTACATATTTGTATATCAAGTAAATTTATCTCTGAAAGTACATCTCCAATGATGTAAAGTTTTAACATTTGCTTTCAGATATTTGTATGCAAATGAGCCTAATTGAAATAAATTGTCCTGTGGGGGTAGGGAGCACAACTAAGCCAGATATGGTGGCATGAGGCCTTTGAGTCCAGAACTCAAGAGGCAGAGACTTGTGAATCTCCATGAGTTCGAGGCCAGTCTGTTCCACATAGGACAGACCAAGACTGCAAAGATCCTGCCTGGAAACAAACAGATACACAGTTGAACACAGGGCTAGGGATATAGGTCAGCAGTTGGAGTGCCTGCCTAGCCGAGATCCCTAAATTTAAATTGGGTGTGGTGGCAACAATCCCAGCACCCTGGAGGCAAAGACTGTGAGTCTAAAACCCAAGGCGATCACTGACCATGCATTAATCAAGCCCAGCCTGGAGCAGGACCATTGAGTTACCCAGTTCCAAGGAGCCCCAGACACAGGCGACAATGAAGAATGCCCTTTGGGGGTAAGACAATGCGGTGATCCTGGACTCCAACTTGGTTGTGAGGCCCCAGCCTCAGACACAGCCAGGAGGCTATCCCACCCTCAGCAGTAGGAACTTCAGTGCCAGGGAGTGTGCTCCAGGGAGGGGAGGAGGTAGTGGTAGCTCTCAGTGCCTCTCTTATCTGCCAGGTCAGTGTCATGTGACTTCTCTGTGGTCGTCTGCTAAGCCTTCAACTGAGAGGCTCTGCTCCAGAAAGTTCCACTGTTTTTACTCTATCAAACCAGTGCGACTCACAGCTTGGGTGCACCGAGTGACCATGTCAGCACTACTGGATGCTAGCAAGCAAGCAAGGACAGCAGATCTGACAGCTTGAGGACACTGTGCTGCCCTACCCAGTAACGGCAACCCATTTTCCCTAACTCGGTCTCTGTGTGACAGGCTGGGCGGGTCAGGTCGTGTACACAGTAGGCCTCGTCCTGGCACTCACAGAAGAAGCTATGTTCTTCTCGTTCCTCTGCAGAGTGGAGAGACTGCTGGACACCTCCAGCAGAGTGGTCGTTCCAAGCTCGGAGCCGCAGGCGATGAGACACCCAGTGTCCTGAACCCGCAGGCAGAAGAGCGGGTCATCACACACCTGTGGAAGGAGCCGGCAGAACCAGGTAGAGTTGGGGAAGAAAACCAAAGTCACACCTATCCTATTATCTGACTCTATTGGACTACACCGGGTGACACACCCTTCCACAGTGGATAAAGATCACTCATCACCGAGACCTTGGTCACTAGCCCCAATGTTAGTCTAGCTGCATTATCTTACGGATCTCCGACTCCCTGGTCTCCCCTGTCCCCAGCCAGCGGGTCTCAGCTACAGTCTGCTAATATCGGCTGATGGGGTAGCTGCAGAGGACCCAAATATAGGGATTTAGAAGACATACAGTTAGACAGGGGAGAGAATGTTTACTTCTCTTAAATTCCCTCCTGTTTTGTTGTCGTTGTTTGAGTTTGGGTCTCATGTAGCCCAGGTTGGTCTTGAACTGACTACTTAGACAGGGGTGACCTTGAACTTCTGAAGCACCATGCCTGGTGTACACAGTTGTGGTGATAGAACCCGGGGCCTTGTTCGTGCTGGGTAAGTGTCCTACCAGCTGATAAAACTTGTTTCTTGTGCCGGGTGAGAAGCTCCGACTTGAAAGCTAAGCCAGGAGGACTTGACCACTGCCTGGCACCCCAGCCCTTCTTTTCTGTTTACATTCCCGAGGGTGATTCTTGTACGTCACCACAGCTGCACGTCCCTGGTCCCTCACTTCTGCAGAAACCCATACTGCCAAGGCCAGAGCACAGCTGGCCAGAAACCCAGACTATTCAGGTACACATACCCAAGAGCAGGAGCAAGACACACACACATACACACACACACACACACACACACACACACACACCTGGACCCATCTAGGAAGGACCCCAGATCACAAGGGCCAGAGTGTATGGTGGGGCAGGGGAAACCACACACGTGACCTTCAGGCTGAGGGCAGGGTCACACTGCTTGAACACCAAGTCCCAGATGTCCAGGGTCCCATCCATCTTGGTGGTGAAGAAAACAGCTGGTCTCACAGGACTCCAGGCTCCATCAGAGAGGTAGGCCATGTGGTACCTATAGGAGCCAGGGTGGTGAGTCAGGGACCCTGGGGTAGAGGGATAGAGCATAGGGCCCACGGCTATGATCACTGAAGCTCTCCTAGGGGCCAGCGTCTCTGAGTCTTTCTGGGTAAAAAGCCTTTTCGGGTCTGACTCTAGCATGCCACCCTTACCGATGGCTTCCAGGTGAGTTTAACAGGGATCTGGGGATGTGGTTCTCCCCATGGGCTGGGCATTGGTATTTCCCACAGTGTCAGACCTGACGGAACTAGGCTCCACTGTGGGGTCCCAGAAAGGACATGCCCAGAAATTCATTTTTTTTTTTTTTTTTTTTTCTGAAATGGAGGTTTGCTATTATTTCATCCTGGCCTTCATCTGGATTTTCAAAGGGTTGTTTGGTGGACAACTTTGTTTAATGATCTTTAAAACACATTTTTATGTGTGTGTGTTTCATGTGTGTATGAATGTGTATGTGTGCGTGTGAATGTGTACGGTGCATGCATGACATAGCACACATGCAGAAGTCAGAGGATAACTTGGAGAAGTCAGTTCTCTCCTTCTCCCAAGAGAGTTCTGGGGTCAAGCACAGATTGTCGCACTTGGCAGCAAGTGCCTTTACCCACTGAGGCAACCTACCAACCCAAACAAAAAGTCATCCTTCACCAGGCAGGGTGAAGCCTACCTCTAATCCCAGCACTTGGGAGGCAGAGGCAAGCGGATTGCTGAGAGTTTGAGGCTAGCCTAGTCTATAGATTGAGTTTGAGGCTAGCCAGTGCTACAAAGAAAAACTCTGTCTGGGGAAGGGGGTGAGTTATCCCTCAGGGTCAGTCAAAAGTAGGTGAAATATTTTTGCATTTCAGACCTCCTTTGCTACTAAACTTGTAAACAATTGGGCCATAGTAGAAAGAAAAAAAAACGAGAATTTTTATTTTATTTTATATTTTTTAAAGAGAGTCCCACTGTGTAGTTCTGACTGTCTTAGAATCAGAGAGATCTCGCTGCCTCTATCTCCTGAACACTGGGACTAAAGACGTGGCTAGCATGTCCATCTGATTCTGGAGAGTTTTGAAGGCAGTGCGGAATTTTTAGTATTAAGTATATCTCATGGGGACATAATATTGATGGGGCATATTTATACTAAAAATCTTTCATTGTTGTTGGCTGGGTGTGATGACACAGGCTTTTTTTTTTAAACTTTATTTATTTATTTATTTATTTATTTATTTATTATAAGTACACTGTAGCTGTCTTCAGACACCCCACAAGAGGGCATCAGATCTCATTGCAGATGGTTGTGAGCCACCATGTGGTTGCTGGGATTTGAACTCATGACCTCTGGAAGAGCAGTCAGTGCTCTTAACCACTGAGCCATCTCACCAGCCCATGACATAGGCTTTTAATTGCAGCACTTGGGAGGCAGAGGCAGAGTCTTAGGATTTCTCTTACTGTGATCATGAGCAAATTGAGGAGGAAAGGGTTAAGGGTTAATTTCATCTACACTTCCAGGTGACAGATAGCCCATCCAGGTAAGTCATGGAGATATATATATGTATGTATGTATATATGTATATGTATATACACACACATATATATATACTCCCCCCCCCCGACACACACACACCTTTCTGAGACAGGGTTTCTCTGTGTGGGCCTGGCCATCCTGGAACTCAATCTGTAGAGCAGGCTGGTTTTGAACTCAGAGATCTGCCTGCCTCTGCCCACTAAGTGCTAGGATTAAAGGCAAGCACAACCGATGCCCAGCGGCAAGACAACGTCTTTCCATGTAGCTCAGGATACTTCAAACTTGCAATCCTCTTGCCTCAGACTCCAGAATGCTGGGATTACAGGTATGAGCCACCACGCCTTGTTTAGAGTCTTGCTAAACCAAATCTCTGAAGTGGGCCCCTGCATACCCTCTTCTTCTTTGGAGCCCTCCCCTTACTTGGTCCACATGATAGATGACTCCCGACTGTCCTCAGACCAGATGCGGGCTGTCCAGTCACCAACAGTCAGAAAGTTCTTTGGGTAGAAGGGGTTTCTCTGGAGGGCATAGATGGGGCCGTGGTGGCCATAAAAGGTGCAAACGATCTTCTCGGCTGGTGTCTTGGCCTTGCGGTTGCAGGAGATGACAATGCCTTGTTCGGTGCCCACCATGAACTTGGTTGGCTGTGGAGAGGAAAACAGAAGAAGAAAGTCCATGAGCTATCATCCCTGGGTTGGACCCATGTGACCAGAAGCCTGTCTGGGAAGCTCTGCTTCAGCCGTGTCCAGGCTGAGTCCTGTCCCACTTCTCAGCCTCATTGTGAGTCTTCTTGAGGCTGGCATACTTAATAACGGTCTCCTTGGCTCTCCTGGTCCCTAGAGGGTCATCAGGAGACTCTGCTACAGGCATTACTGTATACACTATGCAGTGTGTGTGTCCGTGTGTGTTTGTGTCCATGTGTCTATATAGTTTATGTGTACAGTGGTTTATGTATATGTGTATCCGTGTGTGTATGCAGTTTATGTGTACAGTGTGTGTTTGGGTGTATGCTCATGTGTGTGCATGCAGTGTGTGTGCTTGTCTATGTGTGTGTGTTTGGTGTGTCCACGTGTGTATATTTGGTGTGTCCATGTGTGTGTTTGTGTGTGTCCATGTGTATATATGCAGTTTATGTGTACAGTGTGTTTGGGTGTGTGTCTGTGTGTGCGTGTGTGTGTGTGTGCTTGGTGTGTCCATGTGTGTATATTTGGTATGTCCATGTGTGTGTATGCAGTTTATGTGTACAGTGTGTGTTTGTATGTGTGTCCATGTGTGTGCATGCAGTATGCATGTATGTAGTGTGTGTATATGCAGTTTGTGTGTACAATGTGTGTTTGCATGCATGTGTCCATGTGTGTGTATACAGTGTGTCTGTGTGTATGTGTCTGTGTTTGTATGCATGAATGTGTGTGTTGTATATTTGTGTGTGCAGAAACCAGAAGAAACTTTGGGTGTCTCCCACTATCACTCTGCCTCATTCCTTTGAAGCAGGGTCTCTCACTGAGCTTGGATTCTTGTTTTTCAGATAGGCTGGCTGTCAGCAAACCCCAATCCTCCTGCCTCCATTCCCCCGCTGGAGTTAAAGGCTAGCAGGTGCTTTTAAACACTAGGTCACCACTCTAGCCCCAGCAAGTGTCCTGTCATAAAGATTTTGGATATTTATTTATACATAGAATAAAGGAGGCCCAGAGTAGACCCAGTGTGTCCCTACGAAGAAACTGCATCTGACCTGAGGGTGAAACTGGCCCAAGCTGTCACTGAGAACTCAGGACAGGTGGCCAGCCAGCAGTGAGGAAGCCACCTGGTAGTCAGTGATGCAAGTTGTCTCGCCCAGATCTGGGAACTACAGTTGTGCCTCCTCCCACCAAGCCTGGAAACTTACCTGTGATCATCTGTGGCAGGGCCGGAGACCTGACTCAGCACCACTTCTTACCAAAACTGACAACCAGAGCTTGGTACCCAGAACCCATGAGGGAGGAGAGAGCCAGCTCCTGCTGAGTTCTCTCTGAGACCTCTACAGTTTCATTACACACACTCATACACACACACACATGCACACACACACACGCACACAGAACACACACATACCCCACATGCATGCTTGCATATGCATGCACACACATGTGCACACACATATACACACATGCACACATACACAGAGTACAGCATATATTCATACATGCTTGTGTGCATGCACATGCACACATGTGTACACACATGCATGCTCACACACATGCACATATGCACACATGCATGCACATATGTGCACACATACATCCACATACAAAGATACTTTTTTTTTTTTAACAAAATAGGAGTATAAAAACAAAATAAGGACAGGGCTAGGACCACAGCTCAGTTGGTAGAGTGCTTGTCTAGCAGACATGGAAACCGGGGTTCAAACCCTACACAAACAGGCATGGTAGTGCATTACTGAAATTCTATCTTCAGGAGGGGAGCCAGGATTAGAAGTTCAAGGTTATCCTCAAATACTTAGCAAGTTTGAGGCCATCCCAGGCTATATGAGACTCTGTTTCAAAAAGAAACAAAGAAAGAGAGAGAGAAAGAGAGAGAGAGAGAGAGAGAGAGAGAAGGAAAGAAGGAAGGAAGGAAGGAAGACAGTTATGAGCCTTCTCCTTAGAGCTCTCTAGAGGAAGCAATGTCATAGAGGTACAGAGAGTGCTAAGAATTGCTGAGATCTCAGGGAGAGAGACACGGGGACCTGTTTTTCTCATAGGTACAGTGTTGCAATTTTATATTTTATTTGTTCTGCAAGAGAACTAGTTTTTTGAGGAGGAAACTGTAGGCTTCATTTTGAACATTTGAAAATCAGTTACAACGAGAGCTGGCAAAAGGGCTTGATGGGGTTTTGTTTTTTTGATACAGGGTCTTACTATGTAGCCTTGGCTGTCCTGGAACTTTCTCTGTAGTCCAGGCTAGCCTTGAACTCACAGGGCTGCCTCTGCCTGAAGTGCTGGGATTAAGGCATAACCCACCAAGCCTAGCTTTTCTGGAAATTGTAAGAATGACCAGATTCCTTTGAGGAAGAACCATGTCAAAGTGTGAGTCAGCAGAAGCCACACAGCTATGAGGAAGTAAAATGATGCTCATCAGTAAGACGGCAGGCAGGGCTCCTCCCCACCCAGGCTCTTTCTATTCTGTCCGGAAGGTAAATAAAATGTCACGTCTTAAAAAAGAGCTTTGAAAGATGGGGAAATTCCAGAGCCAGGTGGTAGGGATGGTTACACTACAGTGTGAGTGGGCTGGGCACTACAGAACTGGCCCTTCAAAGTGGTTAGCCCAGACACAGTGGCACACACCTGTGACCCGGCACGCAGAAAGTGGTGGGGGAGGGGGACCAGGAATTCAAGGTCATGAGTCTGGGAGACAGCTCAGCGGGTAAAGGCTCTGACTGACATGCTTGACTACCTGAGTTCAGTCCCTGAGACCCACACAGTGGAAGGAGAGGACTGATTCCCACAAGCTGTCCTTTGACAAGCATGCCTCCACTACACATGGCAAAAATAAATTATATATATATATATATATATATATATATATATATATATATATATTTATATATTTATATATTCATAAACTCAAGGCCAGCCTGGGATACAAGGGACTTGTCCAGAATAAAAAGTAAGGGGAAAGCTGGGAGGTGATGGTGCATACCTTTAGTCCCAGCACTTGGGAGACAGAGACAGGAGGATCTCTGTGAGTTTGAGGCCAGCCTGGTCTACCGATCGAGCTCTGAGATAGCCAGGGCTACACAGAGAAACCATGTCTTAAACAAACAAATAAACAAACAAACAAACAACAAACAGTTAAGCAGGGCTACAGAGATGGATCAGCAGATAAGAGCACATGTTGCTCTGGCCAAGGAGCCAGGCTTGACTCCTGACACCCACTGCTGGCTCACGGACATATTTGTAACTCTAGTTTCTGGGTATTCTCTTCTGACCTTTTCAGGTACCAGGATTGCATGTGGCATACACGAATGGGGGCAGAATCCTCATACACAAAAGTAAATAAATGAATAAATATAAAATAAATAAATAAATCTTTAAAATCAATGAATAATAATGGTTAAGGAAGTAGGTAATAATTTTATGAGCTTTAAACCATGAATAGACTAGTGGCTTAGTGTTGAAAGGTTGGCCCCAGGTTCAGTATTCAGTAACAAGAGAGAAACACACACACACGAGAGAGAGAGAGAGAGAGAGAGAGAGAGAGAGAGAGAGAGAGAGAATACAAACTGAGCTACTAATGTTGGATATGAAGTAAAAAGACCAAATTTGAGGGGCCCTGAGAAGCCAGCCATTAGGTCAGGCACAGTATACCGTAAATAGTCAGGGACAAGTCCCCAGCCTGTTTGCCTCAGACATCATACAAGGTGGAGACAGAATCAGAGCTTGGGGTTCAAGTCCCAGCTATACCATGTGCCTGGGCATTCAGCTTACTATCACCAAGCAGGGATAAAATCCCAGCCTCACAGGAGCATGGCGGCTTCCGATATCTGGCAAAGGCTGTGTACTCAAGGAACGTCATGGAGAAGAGGGGACATTACATTTAGCATGTGACCTAGGGATCACAACATGGGGGCACAATGCCTTCTTAAACCCTTCCAGAGAGACTCTGAGTCCAGGGTCTCCTCCTACTCCAGGGTGAGTGGCCTGTCTTCCGGCTTGTCGTTCCGGCATTTGAACTCTGACCTTCAGCTGAGGATGCTGGGAGTAGGTGTGAGGGTGAGCCAGCAACTGACACCTCCAAGGACGCAGGAGTGGGGCCACCAAGCGTCAGTCTCAGCCATTTAGAGGAGAAGCCAGCCTAAGGCATGACCCATCTAGAAAGAGATTTTCTTGCCTTGATTGGGGTGGGGAAAGTGTTCATTTTCTTTCTGCTTCTGACGCACACTCACGGCTGCTCTGTTAGACTCTAAGGTTTATATTTTCTTTTTATAGGTTCCTGGTTTTGTATGTTTGGGACATGGTCATGCTCTGCACTCCTGGCTGGCCTGGAACGCTCTATGATCTCAGTCGGTTTTGAGTTTTCAATGATGCTTCTGCTTCTGGCTTCAATTCTGAGTTTTAAAGTTTTCATTTATCATGATCATGATCTCCCTCCCTCCCTCCCTCCCTCCCTCCCTCCCTCCCCCTCCCTCTCCCTCCCTCCCTCCCTCCCTCTCTCTCTCTCTTTCTCTCTCTCTCTCTCTCTCTCTCTCTGTCCATGAATACCATGGCCCACTATATATAAGTAAAGGTCAAAGGACAATTTCCAGGAGTCAGTTTCCTTCCATAATGGGATCCAGGAATTAATTAAACTCAGGTCAAGTTTGTGTAGCAAATGCAAAAGCTCTCTCTCTCTCTCTCTCTCTCTCTCTCTCTCTCTCTCTGATTTCCTGTTTTCTGTTTTGTTATTTATTTTGACTAAAAAAAAAAAAAAATCTACCACCACCACCACCACCAACAAAACCCAGAACCTCAAACTTGTTATTTATGACTTTGAACTCCTGATCTTCCTGCTTCCAGCTCAAAGGTGCTAGGATTACAGTCATGCACCTGGCTTTTGGAGTTTCTTTATCATTTCTTGTCTGCTGAGACTTGTCCTAATCGGGTATGTACTTTTCCACCAGGCTTCTCTGTTCTTCCTTTCTTCCTCAACACCCATTTATTTCCCCCTACTCCCACCCCGAGGAAGGGAAATGACCAGCCTAGGGCCTCAAATGAAGCCTATGCTGTCGGGATATTGGTTCTGGGCAGAGATCTTCCCCTAAAACTGAGCTTCTCTGGTTTTAAAGCTCGCCCTCCTCAAAAGGGTGGCAACAGCAGCCTTCCTGGAGGTGCTCTGCCTCCCCCTGCTGGAGGATCGCGGTAAAGCCTTCACAAGGCGTAAGGCTGCCCGTGGAAGGGAGGGACCGTCTCCCTGCTTCTTCTGTACCAGCCCATGCCTGTTTGTAGCCCTAGCAAGTGAAGTTGAGGAAGAACAAAAACAAAAACAAAAGCAAACAAAAATCGAAAAACAAAAAAACTCAAAACGAACAAACAAAACTACCCACCAAGGTAGACTCGAACTCCAAGGAGATGGCGCCCAGGGCGTTCTCCAGCTGCTCCTTTCTGGAGATGTCCATAATGACAACTTCAGTGGGCTCACTGATCTTACGGATGTCCCACCACATGACCTGGCAGGGAAGGACAATTGAGACCTTGAAAATCCTGATTATTCCCCCCCACTCCCCCCCACTCTGCCCCAAACCATCCAGGGGCTCAAAGGATATGGGACCAATGAGAACAAACATATTTTTAAGACTTACAAAGGTAAACGGTATAAAATTCAGATGCAGGTACAATAAAGTATTTTCTATAAGATTTTCCCTAAGGCCGGGCGGTGGTGGCGCTCGCCTTTAATCCCAGCACTTGGGAAGCAGAGGCAGGCAGATTTCTGAGTTTGAGGCCAGCCTGGTCTACAGAGTGAGTTCCAGGACAGCCAGGGCTACACAGAGAAACCCTGTCTCAAAAAACAGAACAAAAAACAAAACAAAACAAAAAAGATTCTCCCTATATAGCAATAGCCAGCAAGACGAAAACTACACACAGGACCCAGGCATGGTAACCTATATTTGAAATCCCAGCACTCGGGAGGTGGAGACAGAGAGTTTAGGAGTTTGAGCCCAACCTGGACTACATGAGATCCTATCTTTAAAAATAAATAAATAAGCATACATATTCATTGAGCTAGCATTCCCAGCAATATATGCTTTAGATTTGTCTAGGCACAAATGTACTTCTTGCTCTTCCTTTTCTGATGCTAACAAAATACAAGCCCTTGTGAAATAAAGCATAGCAGTCCTACACCAGGCCATCAGCAGGCGGCACAGAACCACACTTCGTGAAATTTGAAGTGGCTGCTGAGTAGGTCCAAGGAACACAGCAGGTACAAGACAGGCAGGAAAGTGTGCGAAGCAAATTGGGGGAGGGAGGAGAGACAGAGACAGAAAGGGAGAGAGAGAGAGGGGGAGAGGGAGAGGGAGAGGGAGAGGGAGAGGGAGAGGGAGAGGGAGAGAGGAGAGCGGGGCATTTGCTCAAACATGCAGACAGCATCTCTCAGGGCAGACATAGAAAACCGATATCTGGGGGAGGGGCTGGGAGGTTGTGGACAGGAGCCATTTCAGAGACTGACTGCCGTCTGACTCTTTGGAATTTTTTACTACTCAGTGTTAAAACGGGGAGAGGTTAGGGCAGTGGGGTGTCTCAGAAGGTAAAAGTGCTCACTACCAAGCCTGAAGACCTGAGTTTGATCCCCGGTACCCACACGGGCACCAGGGCACACAGCACTGCCCCAGAATAAGTTTTATTATCCTTTCTTTTCCTTCCTTCCTTCCTTCCTTCCTTCCTTCCTTCCTTCCTTCCTTCCTTTTTTTTTGAAAGAGAGGACTGGAAGTGTGGCTCAGTGGTAGATGCTTGCCTCTCATGCATGAGGCCCTGGGTTCCAGCCCCAGCACTGCACAATAAAATAAGTACTGGAAAGCAGAATATAAGACAGTGTTCTCTGGCCGGGTGGTACCTGCCCATCCGTGGACGCTGAGAAGCACTCGGTGCCTGTCTTTGACTGCAACCAGATGGTGCCGTACACCGGGTCTCGGTGGCTGAACTCAATCGTGGAGAGCTCTGCCACCAGGCTGCCCTTCCGGGTGTCCCAGCAGGCTGACGGGGGAGAGAACGAGGCTGTGAACTCAAGTGCCCGGAAACACAAACTGACTAAACCTGGAGTAAAGCTTTTCCGTGACCTGGGAGAGTTGACACTCTTTGAGTTAGAGGCTAGCCTGGTCTACATAGCGAGTTCCAAGCCTGACAGGGCTACATAGTGAGACCCTGTCTCAAAATACACAAAAATAAGACACAAGAAGATAGTCATCAGATAATGTGTGAGACCTGAGGCCTGTTCCAGAATGTTCTGACCCACCTGCCTGTTGTTCTTTACCGATATTTGGCCATTGGAGGTGGGTGAGGATTCATTTGCTTTGTTTTGGATTCTTGAGACAGGGTCTCATGTAGCCCAGGCTAACTCCAACTTGCTATATAGCTAAGGATGGCCTTGAACTATTGACTCTCTGGCCTCCACCTCCAAGGTGTTGGGTTTATAGACTTATGCTGCCAATTAGGGCTCCACCATGCTACCCGAAAACCCTTGGTTAGTGGTTTTCTGTTGTTGTAATGTTCTAAGAACTTTGTGAAACTGTTTTCAGATTGGGACTTAGTGTCTGGAGTAAATCATCCATGCTCTGGATCACAGACATCCATATTCGACTCCAGAATGAACTGTCTCTCATTTCCCTTTGAGGTAAGAGCTCCGTTTGGGGGTAGTTGTTCGTGTGTCTGTGAAGGAGGCGCCATTCCTTGTCTGGTAAAGGCGTCCAGTTGGAGGAATAATGCTTCTGAGTTTACAAATTATCTGGATTTTTAGAATCAGGGCTACATTCAAACCACCCTATATAAAATCTATACCAGCCCCAGACAATCTACTGCAGAGACTCCTGGACTGGAGGCTCCATTTATTCCATGATGCCCGGCCATGCTCTGAGCAACACCTTACACCCTGGTGAAGCGCATGGGACCAGGCTCCGTGCTGGGAGAGGCTTGAGTGGGGGCAGGAGGTGGAGAGGCTGCTCTGGTCAGGGAAGGCCTGAAAGGAAAGTGGCTGAGAGCTAAGGTTGAATGCCGAGCTAGCCAAGCAAAAGTGTGTGGCCAAGTTCCAAAAGGGGTGTGGCCAGGATCTTAAAGGGGTGTGGCCAGGATCCAAGGCAAGGAGAAGCACAGGCCCAGGCCCTCCAAGGTAAGGCCGTCTCTTTGCTGTATGAACATGTCGTTGCAAGCTACTCATGGAGGGGCAGCTGGAGAGATGACCCAGTGGGTTAAGCTTCTTGTCGTCCAGCCAGATGACTTGGGTTTGATTCCTGAAATGTACCCGTTAGCTCACAACCATCTGTAAATCCAGTTCCGATGGACCCTATACCTTTTCTGGCAACTGGACATACATAATATGGTACACACATACACGCAGGCAAAACACTTATTAGTTAATTAACTAATTAATTAATTAGTCTAAAAGTTGATTAACAATAATAATAAAAATAGGGCTGGTGAGAGGGCCCATCAGGTAAGGGTGCCTGACTCTCACAGCCCGACCACCCAAGTTTAACCCCTGAGATCCACTTGGTAGGAAAGAACCAACTCCTCCTTCAGACTGTCCTCCGGCCTCTACATGCTCCCTGGGGTATACATGCACCCCTCCCACCCAGTAAGTGCTAAAAATGTGAATTAAAAATAAAAAAGAGGGCAGGAGAGACAGCACATCAGTTCAGAACCCTTGCTACCCTTACAGAGGACTAGAGTCCTGTTCCCAGCACCCACCCTGGATGGTTCCTGGCTCCCTGTAACCCCAGCTGCAGAGGATACCCACACACAGACAAACACACATGTATGACATTTTAAATGATAAAATAAAGAGGACACTGGATGGTGGCCCGGTGGTTACGAGCGCTTGCCGCTCTAGCAGAGTTTGGAGTTTGGTTCCTAGCATCCAGAGTGGATGGCTCACAATGCCTATATGCAGCTACAAGGGATCTGATGGCATTTTCTAACCTCCTCATACACACCCCTACACACACACACACACACACACACACACACACACACACACGGCACATGCTGTTACACACACCATAACTAAAAGAGAATTAAAAAACAAAAAACAACTCATGGGCTCATTGAAGTCTCTCCTGTGACCCCATATTTGTGCTTTGCCAACAAAGGGGTGAGGTCTACCTGTTTTCTGCCCTGAGGTATCTGGCTTTCACGGCACCCTGAAAGCCATCAAGGACCCACAGAGCCATTTCCAGAAAAGATGATTTTATAAGCCGGCCAGTGTGCTTACTTACTCATAAGTTTTGACCTAGTCTTTCCTAAATCCGAGACCTTTATCCTTGGCCAGGCTAGGTCCACAAATGTATTTCTTTGACTCATTTTTCTGCAAAGCAGCACCCCAGGGTGGGTCCTGTGATCACAGATGTCCTATGGTAACAGAGCCCCAGAGCTGAGCTGTTCTGAGCCAGTTTGAAAAGCCACTGCCAGGGATCATGAATAATGAGTAAGGAAGGCTGCTGAATAAGTCATGACATTAGCTTCACTGTGGTCCTTATGGCTCAGAAAATGGATAATATGGCAGGGAAATGTATGGGGCCCATAGCTATGACACTCCCCTGGGGAGGTGGGAGAGAGAGAGAGAGAGAGAGAGAGAGAGAGAGAGAGAGAGAGAGAGAGAGCGCTTTTCCTAAGGAATTGAGTGTTTAAGGCCAGCCTAGGCTGTAAAGTAAGACTCTGTCTTTAAAACAAAAATATACTAAAAGGCTGGAGAGGTAGCATAGTGGTTATTAGTATACACTGCTCTTGCAGAGGACCGAGTTGGGTTTTCCAACACTTACACTGGGAGGCTCACAAACTGTGACTCTGATGCCCTCTTCTGGCTGTCAAGAGCAGTACACTCTGGTGCACATACCCACACATATACATAATCAAATAACAAAAGCTAAGATAAAAACAAATCAGAAAAACAAGAGTAATTAAACCCAAAGCAAAGCTAAGCAAAGTGGCTCAGACTTATAATTCCAGAGCTTGGAAGCTGAGACAGGAGGATTAATGCAAGTTTGAGGTCAGCCTAGGCTACACAGTGAGTTCAAGTCCTGTATGTGCTCATATAGAGACCCTGACTCACAAAATAAAATGCTAAATAATTAATTTAAAAAGAGGCAGGGGGTTAGTGAGATGGCTCAGCGGTTAAGAGCACTGATTGCTCTTCTGGAGGTCATGAGTTCAAATCCCAGCAACTACATGGTGGCTCACAGCCATCTGTAATGAGATCTGACGCCCTCTTATGGGATGTCTGAAGATAGCTACAGTGTACTTACATATAATAAATACATTTTTGGAAAAAAAAAAAAGAGGTAGGGTTGGTGGCACATGCACCCAGGAGGCAGAAGCAGTCAGATCTCGTGAGTTCAAGGCTAGCCTCGTTTACATAGTGAGTTCTAGGTCATCGAGAGCTACACAGTGAGACCCTGTCTCAAACAAACAAAAATAAACACTGGATATGGAAAGCAAACCCAGCATGTGAGATGTGAAGGCAGCAGAATCAGCAGGCTGGACTATACCACACACACACACACACACACACACACACACCTCTGAAACTACAACACGCGTGCACACACATACATACACACACCTGAAACTACAACACACACACCCCTGAAATTGCAAAACACACACCTTTGAAAGTACAACCTACACACAGACAAACACCTCTGAAACTACAACTCATACACACTTGAAACTATTACATACACACATACACTCGCACATACATACACACACACCTGAAATAATAACACATACACATATATACACATACCTAAAACAATAATACACACACACTCACACACACATACATACATACACATACCTGAAACTACAGCACACAGACACATAAAAACATATACACACACACCTGAAACCACAACACTCACACACACACACACACACACACACACACGAAACAGGAAATGGAATAAAAATTGAAGTAAAAAAAATAAGTGAACGAAGAAGAAGAAAAGAAGACACTGAGGAATGTAATTAAGCCAGATGCTGGTTCTTAGGAAACAGATCAACCTCCTCTTGGCTGACTAGGAGACAAGAGACAGAAGCTCCTTGACGAAACGCAGAGGAGAGTGCCAAGCGGCATGTCAGGTGACCTAATGAAAAAGTCGCTAGAACATCAGAATCTGCCAACGCAGATTCAGAAATAGAAGCCTAGTGTGGCGACACACACCTATAATCTCAGCTCCTGGGAAGTAGAGGCAGGAGGATCGTAAGTTCAAGTCCAGCTTGGGCTACATGAGACTCTGTGTCAAGAAGAACATGAAGTGGGAAAGAGAAGACGTGGAGGGGAGGGACTGGATTCATTCATTAGCTTCCAGGGCAAAGGTGCTTGCCGCCAAGCCTGACGACCTGAGTTCGATTCCCAGAACAAGCATGGGTAAACTTGAGAATTGATTCTCACAATTCTTCTGATTCAGGTGTTTGTAGGCACACACCAGTGCCCATCCCCCACTCCACATCCTGCCTGTTGTGTGTCACCCAGCCCATTATGTCCCCCTAGCCATCTGGGGAATTCAGCTGTGCCCCTTACAAAAGGATTATCCCAGCCAGACCTGTTGACTGTGTATTCTGACAGAGGGAGGGAGAGTCAGGAGACCCTCCCCTGAGTATCTGGCTGCCCCTCCCAGGGATAGCCTGTAGGGGAAAGATCACTCAAACCTCCATAGCCCCTCCCCTAGGCTCTGTAAGGAAGCCCAATAAATGTCTCAGATTTTACCTCAAGTTATCATTGGGACCTTGGAAAAGGAATCTCTCTGTCTCTCTGTCTCTCTCCCAATAAATGTAGCATAAATAAGTAAAAAACAAACAAACATCCTCCTGTGTTTACTTGGGACCTAGTGAGAGGAAATGTGTTGCTGGGGGCCAGCCTTACTTCCTGCTGAACCCTCTGCTTCCTGGTGGGCCTGACTTGAGAAGCCCCCTTTGCCAGCTCCTTCCACCAGCAGAGACCAACCCACTCCAGCTGCTGTACTGTCCCTACCATGATGGGCTGTTCCCTCAGGAACTGGGAAGCAAACTGACTCTTCTCCCCTTAAGTCTCTCCTCTGAGACATTGTGTGCGTCATAGCAATGGGCACACAGGAGGCGACACTTCCCAACTGCGTGTACAAATCACCCACAATCATCCCATGTTTTCCAGACACCTCTCCCAAGATGGGACTCCACAATGGCCCTCAACTGTCTACCGCAGGCCCTGGTACTTGATTTTATTTGAACTATCGCTTTAAAAAAAACCCTATATTTTATTTATGTATTTTGCATGTACAGGTGTGCAGCTGCATGCATGCTGTAGCACACACGTGAAGGTCAGAGGACAGCTCTCCTCTCTGTCCACCATGTGGGTCCCACAGGCCAACTCAGGTCGTCAGTCTTGGTGACAGGCACCCTTACCCACCAAACCGTCTCCCCAACCTGCATTATTTTTTAAACCTTCTTATTTCCTGTTGATGCTAGACTACCTCAGTGATTACGACTGGAGGCCAGCCCAAACTATCAGCACAATCCTGTCTCCTAGGTGACCGCAGTGGTTAGCTTCTAAATGGCCCACCTGCTAAGTCCAGGCTCAGCCCTGATGGATGTGTGTGTGGGTTAGCAGTACCCTGGCTGCCAGCGGCAGGGCGGTGTCCTCCTTACCTATCTGCCCATTGTAGCACCCCCCCAGGAGCACATGGGAATCCTTGGGGTTGTACTCCAGGGTGACGAGAGGAGATGATGGCTTCAGGGTGAGCTCAGGTCGGTTGGGGTTTTCTAGAATGAAGAGGGCCAATCAGTTCAACTCCTTCAAGCAAAGGATGAGGAAAACAGTAGAACAACAGTCCTTCCCCTTCCCTCTGGTCTCTTTTGCCTGAATCTTGGCTAGTGGCTTTATTGGGTTGGGGGTGGGGAGATCGGGATTGGGGCATATATTCACATTCTGAATTCCAGTTCTAGTCCATTCCCCGGGTTTGGTGTGAAATGAAATTTTGATCCTAGGGTGTAGAGAGTAGATGCGTCCTGAGTGGATGCGTACGTGTGTGCTGTTGACGTAGGTGCAGCCATGCCAAGGACCCTAGAGTTTCAGAGCCCTGGAAGAACGACAAAACCTCACCACCACCTTACCCCCCACACCCCTTGCCGAAGTTTTGGAGGTGAGGCTCAGAGGGAAATGGCAGAGCCTTCCTCAGTGGACTGAGAGGAAGTGTTGACAGTGTGCGCAGAGAACGTCTAGCATAGCTTTCGTCTCACCAGACACTTGTGGTGTGAAGACCGCTGCCCTGCAGAGATCACTCCTACCGAGATTAGCTAAACCCGCCTCCATGATCCAGGAGTGTATAATAACCCTGCCTGCTTGTTTATGTGTATGTGATAACCCTGTTCCGCTGTATCCAATGACCCCAAGTCTCTGTCCTATTCATACAATAACACAATGAGCTTCCGAGATACTGAGATTTCTCCAGCAGAGAGTGCAGACCACCCCACCTCGGCTTTTCAGCCTGTGTTCTTCCTTCACCACTTCAGCCAGATCCAAATGGATCCACAGAGGTTTTACACAAAGTCTGCTCTTGGGGCCACCAAGATGGCCCAGCAGGTGAAAGTGCTTGCTGCCCAAGCCCGGTATGACCTGTGTTCAGTCCTCAGAGCCCAGAGAAAGGTGGAAGAAGAGAACTGACCCCTCAATTTTGTCACCTGACCTCCAAACGTGGACCATAACACACATGCTCTCTCCACAAGCAATTATATATATACATACACATACACATACAAATACAGATATACATATATATAAAATCTCTCTCTCAACTTCTTCCACCTAGGTGGAGATGTCAGGTCTGTGGACCATGGCTGAAACTGGAGCCACCCTGAGTGAAGGCAGCCTCCAGTCAGACTTTGATGACCTGTGGAAAGGAACGGACCGTCGGTTCTGAGTGGTGTCCCTACACTGAGTGTCGCTACCATAATTCCCTGTGGAAAATGGTCTGTCACTGTCTGCGTGAATGAAAGTCAACTGTCAGGAAAGGTGGGATGGTTTCTCCCTGGCTTGAGCCCTCTCTTGGTCAGGTAGGAATCCTTCTCATGTGGGGATCTGTGGATCTGGGGTCCCAGGTTTCCTGCTCTTAGTGCCTCAGAAGTTGGAGTTGGGCTGGAGTGTGGTGTCGTACCTGTCTTGTACTCACCAGGCTGTGGGGTCTATCCCCAGTGTAGGAGGCAAATGTCGAGTGGACAGGAGCTTTCTGGATCTGGTTTGGCTCTGTGGAGGTGTGCCTGCCTGTTCCCACATGAGGAAGAGACAAGAGCTTTCCTCTTATCCCTGGTGCCCCACTGCGCAGGGTGTCTTTGACCCCAAGTTTTGCTGACCTCTGACCTGGCCCCCGCAGTCCTCTCTGACAGGCGGAACCACCCGTTTCTCACCCAGGTCCCAGATGTAGGAGTCATGGCTCATGCTCAGGGGCGCACGCTGGAACTTCAAGCAGGAGTAGGACACTGCCAGCTTCTTGTTACCGTCAGGGTGCCAGGAGAGGTGTGTGGCTGTCCGCTTGATGTCCTGAGGGTCCCTGGAGGGGAAGGCAGGGAGAATGGGGAATGGAGGGAAGGGTCCCCCAATTTTGTGTTTGTCAGATTCCTTTTCAAAAATAATCCAAGTAGGTCTACGCAACTGCATTCACTTAGAAATTGATTTTACGAGGTTGAAGCTGGACAGGGGGTGGCTCCTGCCTGTGACCCAATACCACCCCAGAGGCCAGCTTAGGCTTCAGAGTACAGAGACCCCATTTCAAACAAACAAACCCCAAGCCCCCAAAGAGACCCCAAAGTTGACAAGACTCTCTTAAATAGAAAATCAATCTCAAACTCTACCTAGAATGTACAAGGAATTAGCCAGGAAGCAAATGAGTGAACTCTAGAAGCTAACTTTTTTTTTTTTTTTGGTAGCAAGTTCTCATGTACCCCAGGTTAGCCTTGAACTAAGGATAACCTTGGATTTCTGATCTGTCTTCCTCCAGTACTTAGATTACAGGCATGGACCATCACACCCAGTATATAAGAAACTGGGACAGAACCCAAGGCTATGTACATCTTAGGTACACACTGCCAATGCAGGCTGTGTCCCCTGCAAGATAGTATCTGTGTGTCGGACAGATCTGATACTACTGTGTGTCACCCCGAAGAGCTTTAGTCTAACAATCTAAATGTTTAAAGTAGCGGCTCACTATGTAGCTCTGGCTAGTCTGAAACTCACTCTGTAGACCAGGCTGGACTTGGACTTACAGAAATCTGCCTGCCTCTGCCTCTCTAGAGTTGGCATCAAGGGGCATGTGCTAACATGCTGGCCTGGTTTAAACACTTTTACCTGATGAAAGCTTTGACTGGGAGCCTGAGTCCATGATTATCAGCACAAAAGCGGTGAGAATCCAGCCCCTTCCTTATTTGCCAAAACAAGTTTAAAATTCCTGTCCAGGTAGGCATGGCAGAACACCCCTATAACCCTGACCTCAATCCTAACAAAAGAGGGAGGGGATGGGGATGTAGTCTGTGCCTACATGCAGGAAGTGTTGAGTCTGAGCCCCAGTCCTACATAAAACAAGGGCTGTGATCCCAGCACTTGGGAGGTAGAGACAGAAGGATCAGCAACTCAGGTCTAGTGTTAGCTCCATAGTGAGCCTAGGCCAGCCTGAACTACAGGACAACCTGTCTCAGAAAGAAAGAAAATTAGGGAGGGAGGGAAGGGAGGAGGGGAGGGAGGGGAGGAAAAGATTCAGAGACATAAACCCATTAGTGAATGAAGAAAGCCAGACTAAAGGGGCCACAGAGTGTAAGGCATTGTGCAGATTGTAGGAGGTGGTGATGATAAAAAGACCAGAGGGTACCAGGGGTTGGAGGGCAGGAGAATGAAAACCTGCTCTGCACTGTTGGTCCAAATCCACAGATTATGAGGCCCAAGAGTGCCCCCTGGTGGAAACTATGGCCTCTGCATAGCAGGGATTTGGTTGATTGGTTAACTGGCTTTCCTTTTTCCTTTTCCTTTTCCTTTTCCTTTTCCTTTTCCTTTTCCTTTTCCTTTTCCTTTCCTTTTTCCTTTCCTTTCCTTTCCTTTTTCCTTTCCTCTCCTCTCCTTTCCTTTTTCCTTTCCTTTCCTCTTTCCTTTCCTTTTCTTCCCTCCCTCCCTCCCTCCCTCCCTCCCTCCCTCCCTTCCTCTCTCTT